AACTCAGCATCTATATTCAATGCAACTTAATTCACTTTTGAGCCTTTAGTCAACACATACGTGTGTATGGACCTCAACAGCTCCGTATTCAGCAAATGCATATCTAGTGACATATTTTTAATACTGGCATTATGAGAAACTACACTCAACCAAAAAAGAAAGTCCCCCCAATACGTTTTTGTCTAACTCAAAAACTACTGTGCACATCTTGCTCAAATTACAACTAATCAGTATAGAAATTCCTTAGCAATCCAGCCATACTCTTCGTTTGGCCCAAAACAGTGATAATGGGTACACAATTATGCAATTTATGACAAATGCTACCGCACAAATGTTGCACTTTTGTATAGGTGCAAGGTGACTGTGAACCACAACTTGCACATATACAAAAGTACAACTGTTTTTGGTGTCATTTGTCATAAATTGCATCATGTCGTACACATTATCACTGCTTTGAGCCCAAAAAAAGGAGTATGGCTGGATTGCTAAGGAATTTCTTTACTGATTAGTTGTTATTTGAGTGAGAGGTCAGTAGTTTTTGAGTTCGACCAAAAAGTATTGGAAGGGGGGGGGGGACTTTCTTTTTTGGTTGAGTGTATGATACAATGCAATTTGAAAGTGCTTGAATAAGTATTTGCAAGTAGGCCTACATCCTAAAGCTGGCACTAATGTATTGCCCGATTCTATAAAAGCATCAGGCCTTTTCAATAGCCAATCCAACAGTCGAATTAAATTGTTACAAATATATTGAAAAAAAAACTTACCTAAAGTTCATCTTCAACCTGTCAATTCCTCCACAGAGCCCTGATGCTTTCACCAACTACTGCTCCAAATTTACCACTTTTTTTCAGTTCAAATTTTGTTTGCTATTGGTTTAATACATGGTCATGAACTGGTGCAGGCCAGCTAGACTGGTTCCCTTACCTTACAATTTCCCTTACCTTACAATTTTCCGGCATCTATAAATTGATCCATTTCATCTTTAGTGGAGTCAGGGAACCAGACTACTTTAACGTTTCTGTTTTTGTTCTTTTTTTTCCCAGCATTTTTGAGCAAAAAACTTCAAATATGTCAGTGTAACAATATTTGATCCATTATACTAACTCCTCAATTAGTTCATTTCTGAAAATTACAGCAAAAGCCAATGATGTACATTCCCTTTAAACTACATACTGGTACACAGTTAATTGAAACATACCGGTATGGTTATTGGAACTTTATCCACATCTGACATGTCTGAAGTCATTACCATTTTGGTTGTGTGGACAGTTCAGAGGGTTTTTTTGGGGGGGAGGGCGGCTAATTGACTAATTGGCATGGCTCAAGAGCATAGTTTAAGCAAATATGTAAATTCCATTCAACTATTTAAAAATCGTTTTTTGAAAAACAAAGATACAAAGATAAACTGACTAGGGGAATTATAACAATTTTTGAAAAGTTGGACAAAGAAACTGACTGGAGTGTGGCTTGAACCCACGACCTCCGAATAATTATTCCGGTGCTCTACCAACTGAGCTATCCAGCCCTATGTTGGCCGTGCCCCAATTTGTCAACATCTTTGTTCAAGGGGCGCTAGTCAGAAGCCATAAACCGGTCGTAGCCAGGGATCACATCAAGTCATGAAACAGACCCAGGAATGGTTATCTGGATATCGCAGGTTTAAACCCTGCTCAAGTCAATTTCTTTGTTCAACTTTTTCAAAAGTATAGTATAAAAGAAAAAGGGTTTTTCCTAATAATTGTAATTTCCATCGTACGACAAGTAAGCAAATGTCCCAACAATGACTGACACCCCTAGTGCAAGAATGTGGTCCAAAGCGACCAGGCGCGTACGCAGGGGGGGTGTTTTGGCTGTTAAACACCCCCCTTTGCCATGTAAAAATATGGAGGGAAAAGAGAGTTATGTGACCGAGCGCGGAACAATTATAAATTATGTGCATGTTCTCAACTTTAAGCTTTGAATACAGAAGACACTTTATTAGAGCAAGAGTATATAGGCCTATATGTATTTGAAACAAATGAAACAAAATATCCCCTCATAATTTAAAAAACTTCTGCTAAAAAAACCAGGGGAAAGTGGCCAGGAAACGCCTCAGATTGCACCACAGAGCATCTACGATCCAAAATTTCCCGGGGCCCTTAAGCGGGCCCCGGACCCCACGCCGTAAGTGCTTCGCGCTCCGCGCTCGCATTGGTCCTCCGGCCAAATTAATCCCGGGACATACCGTTATTTCGTTTTACTGTTTTGGATTTCCTCAAAACAAAAACAGTAAACGAACCATTGACCGTTTTCTCGTTTTACAGTTTTGTAAAACGGTAAAACGGTATTAAGTCACACACACAAAATACTTTTTGTTGTTGTTTTTAATTGTAGAAAGCGTTAAACGGTTAGTTGCTTTATTTTTAGAGTGTTGTTTTACAAAATCATGACAATGACAAAACGGTCAATAGTCTTGCCGACCATTTTTTGATTTTAGGTTCGGCAATTAAGCAATGCACCGGAATGTTAATTAATGCGTCCTTGGGATCGAGTCATTGCCTGGGCCCCGCTCCTTACATTTCGTTCTCACGACAAAATTTGCGAATTGGCTATTGAAGAGCCGCGTCGACTTGAACCCCAGTTTCCTTCAAAATGTCTGCAACTTCATCAAACGTCTTATTACCATCCTGTTTCCATTGTGAAAAGTAATGTCCTCCCTTGAAGTTTTCCAGCGCCATTTTGCTTGGAATTCTTTAAGCCCCACCAACTTGACTGAATCGCATGAGAAAGGGGTCGGGGTCCGCGCCAGGAATCACATCACGCATTAATTATGCCGAGGTAACACTTCTTCGTGTAAAACATGGTCCCCCTCCACCCCCTTGCCCACCGCCACAAAATGCACCACGGACTGTTAACCATGACATTGGAATAAAAAAACAGTCTGTATTTGTGTAATCTGTAAAACAAAAATCATTGATCGTTATGCTATAATGAATTTTACTAAACTTATAAAACGGAGAAACCGTATTTATCTTAATACCGCTTGTCGTTTTATAACACTGTAAAACGACAAAACGGTCGATGATTCGTTTACTGTTTTTGTTTTTGAGGAAATCCAAAACGGTAAAACGAAATAACGGTATGTCCCGGGATTCAAATTCCCTCTATGCTATAATTTCACCCTAGCGGTGCCCCAATCATTTTGTACCTTTAGCAGCGAATGGCTCTATAAGTGGCATAAATCCCTTTCCAAAATAGAAAACTGTGAAAAAATACGGAGATGGAACATGGTTCTCAACTTTGAGTACGTAACAAACTTTATAAACAAAAACAAAAAAATAACAACTTTAAATGGAATTTTCGATGTTTAAAACGTTTTCTAAACGGTGGAAGTGGCCAGGAATAGCCTCAGATTGCACCACAGAGCATCTAAAATCCAATTTTTTTTTTCCGGGGCCCTTAAGCGGGCCCCGGACCCCACGCCGTAAGGGCTTCGCAGGTCCTGGACCCTTCATTACAATAGTTCTAGGCCCCCCGGCAAATGGCAGTCTGAATCCGCCCCTGTGACCAGAGCGCATATGTATCCTGTATCTGAAGTTTGGCCTGGGGGGTGGGGGCGGTTTACACAAAGATTCCCAACGGATGAGAATCATGAGATCCAGGGGACGAAGCTGAGTGATTTTAGCCAATAACAAGAACAGATCCTAGCACTTCCGCAGCCTGTGTCACTTTTTTTCTTGAATTTCTTCTTTTTTTTGGTTTAAATGCTGTTGAGGGAGGGGACTGCCCACATTGACCCCTTTACTCATATGTTCATCATACTCTAAAGACACAGAACATTTTTTTCCCGATTTACTATGCTTTAGCTCAAAAAGATAACTGATGGTCGTGGGTTCCCAGCCCTTCGAGTTTAACCCGTCCAAATATACCCTCTTTTATTTCTGGCGCCAACACAAACTCCTGACTTTTATTTTAGCGTAAAGTTTAGCCCACTGATACTATTTTTTATTTCTGGCGCCAACACAATTTACCATCTTCATTTCTAGCGTCATAAATGACGACATCCAATTTTGAAACACCCCCCTTGAAAAAATCCTGCGTACGCCACTGAAAGCGACATTTACTGAGTTCAGCTGAGTTGAGTTGAGCATAAGTAGCTTGTGAAGAGATCACGTGCACAAATGTGTGCATGTGTGACATTACGTCTCTCGCTGAGCCACGTGTGTTAAGTAATATGGTGTACGTAAAATATATGTGTCATCACTTTTCGTAAAATTGATGACTAGGGAGTAGGCCAATAGAAAAAAAATCCTCTTTTCAGATCACTTGCTGTTTCAAATTAGTGCAGGCAGGCCAGGATTTGTAACTTATATACAAAGACAAAACCAGAAAAAACAAACCCAGCAAAGTGAGATCAAGCTTTGTGAATGATCACACAGAAACCTGTTTTCTAAAGATGATTTCGTGACCTTTTTATGATGTAGAGATTTGACTTTATGTTCAGTGCTGTAAACTGCTCCTACTTCTTCCAGCATTGGCTATTATCTTTACAGTGGCAGGAACCATACATCCTGCATGTACTAGTACGGTGCATGCTTTCACCTAGGCAAAGGAAAGCTTGCAAGTCTCGTCAGAAAACTGACTTTCAAGTAAACAAACCTTTCATTTGAAGTAAACAAACCAATCTTTTTTTGTGGTGGAAGAGCTGCTGAGAAGCATGTTCGTTGAAACAATTTGTCCACTTAAAAAATACTTCATAAAGGAATTTTTTCAGAAGCACCTGATCCGCGATTGCATGGTAAGAAATTGCAACGTATTTTGCAAATATTCGATATATTGAACATAATCGATATTGAAGATATACCGGTATGTATCAATAAATCAAAAATTCTGATACCATACGGTACAACCCTGGGAGTCAACTTATTCAGAACAATTCAATCAATTTCACTCACACATTGTACTTCAAATTCATTACTTCAAATAATGCCGTGAATTTCTCAAGTATTGATGGTACTCACCATGTAGCGATGAATTGCAAGTGTTCGTTTCGAAGGGTGACCTTTGTTTGACCTCCAACAGGACCTCCAGGTACGTCACATGCTGGAATGATAAAAACAACAAATCCACAGGACAATTAGATGCAAGATTCTGGTAGAAATGAACAAAAGATATGGGAATGTTTCCATTGTGTATTATCGTACAGCTTATCAAACAAGAAAGATAACTTTTGTAGATTTGGAAACAAGAAATTAGACCACAAAATGATTTCAAGAATCCTCATACATGTGTTATACACCAACTTGGTTGTCGGACCCAGCTTAAGTATGTTGAGACTGTCCCAATGGGCAGGCCTTACTTGGGTTGGGCACTGCTACTCATACATGGATGCTATAGAGGGCACACATTTACCAACGAGCGTACACGATGACCACATCCACGGCCATGTGCTGCAAAGTGTCATCAGACAAACTGAGCCATTTATACAACAAGGCTACCCTGGAAGTTGCTGTAAAAAGACGACATGTTTGATCTGCCTCTGAGCTCCAAGGCCCGGCCTGAGCATGTGCCCTTGGTCCTCCCATCCGGACAGTAGGACCAAGCATCCTACATGTAGCCCTGTCCCAGCCAATCCTCATCCCAAGGGCCTACTTTACTTTTATCATCGTTTTGCTCGACAAAAATCATTTCCAAAACAAAACGTTAACGCATGACCAGAGGAATGCATCCAAGATATCAATGGAAAACTTACTGCTCCTAGCTCATGATAATTCATAAATACCTGAGACAGTTTACCCATTCTTATTGGTCAAAAGCCGTAATGTGGGTGGGTTTAAGCCACTGATAAAACACCGGGTTTGAAACTCAATTCCTGTGTTCTGCACCACATCGTGCAGTCCGTGCCGAGCGAGCCAATTTCCATCTGAGATTCTTAGCACTGCGGGCATGAGACACGTTTAAGACATGGCCAGAGATGTGTTTCACCAAACTTGAATTTGAGTTGCTGAACAAAGTCGTTGGAAATTTGTGAAATTTTGACTTGTTTTGACTTTTTGACCAAAAGGTATTTTATGAGTGGGAATTTCTATGTGCTTGGCTGTATGTTTCAAACCGGCTAGGGGCATGGCATGCCTGGAAGCAGATAATGGCCCTCGCCTTCGGCCGGGTCATTATTGGCAACCAGACCACAGCTGGTTTTAAACGTACTTGTTTCAAACCTGCCAAGCGCATATTCATTACATTAAAATGGTCACTAGTTCAATGCTTGTTCATATCATCCCTTTGTTTGTGGATGAGTTTTTTTTGGGGGGGGGGGGGCACCTGTATAAATCAATATTTGAGAGTAACCTACAATAAAGGCATTTTCTTTGAACTGATTCAGTCCAACGTGTACAAATCAAAACGTATAGGCCGCTTCTTGACTAGCTGACCTTTTACTTGAAATGATGGAGCTAGCCTTGGTCAAGGCATTCGTCAATAGTGCTTCATACAGTTCATAACGCATGCGCAGCGCATGCCAGATACTATCACAGACACAGCGAAAATTAATTTCCATAGACTGTGTACAAACTCGGGGCTAGACGTTTTGTTACAATGAAATTTGGTATTTATGCACGGTGCCCACGTGTGCAGTATGCAGGGCTTAATGTAGTCTAGGGGCTAGACTATGTTCTTGTTTGCTACGCCGATAACCGGCCACCGCTATAACCGGCCAGTGCGCGAGGGCGCTATCACGACCAACCAATATCGCCCACGAACCTGTCAGAACAACGTCTAGGGTACTTGCTTAAATTTCCCCCCGAAAAATGGGGGAAACTAGTGCGCGTGCGCCAATTTTGTATGTAATTTCCTCTTCAAGCACGCACGCGCACTCACGAAACAGATCTGCCACAAAACTGCACAATAGTCAGGTAGCTCGCTATACTACTGGCTGGACGTTTCAGACATACGGTGGATAAATGTCTGCTGTCGGCCGAGCCGCGGCGCGGGTTGCCATCCGGCCGTGTAAGGCGCCGGGCCCGTCCGGGGTAGCATTGCAGTACGCTCCGGCGCGCTGTTTGGTTCGTAAAATACGACGGAGAAATGGCGGAGAAGTTGCCATTTCCAACTTAGTGCAGTATGATACACCAAAGTATAGCGCCGTAGGCGCCGTACACGTACGTACACGCACACACTAGTGTGACCGTAAGTTCAAAGCTAAATTCTCCTAAATGCACATACAAAATCTGTCAGATTTATCAAAACTCTGCCAAATTCCCCAGAATTACTCCAAATATACTATAAACACTTAAAATCACATGTAGATTGGTAGTATTACCCATAATTAAGGTTCAACTCACATTATAAACATTCTATAGTCACATAAAGATGAATATGAAATTATCCCGTAAATTTCGGGCAAAACGCAGATTCGGCCACGACGACGTTTCCCAGTGAACTTCAGCACCTAAACCCAGAGTTGTAACGTGTCACTGATTTTTGTGGCTCGAGTCTAGTCGAGTCATTTTAAAGAAGTGACTCGAATCGAGTCGAGTCATTAGGTCAAAAGGTCGAGTCGAGTCGAGACAATTATTTAGCTCAAGTCAATTCGAGTCACGATTATTTGAACACTATGTATACCAACATTTATAAAAGGAGGCCATAACTTTAGCGAGCGTTCAAATCCAAAAGCTTAGGGACTCGAGTCGAGTCGAGTCACCAAAAATTGTGACTCGAGTCGAACTCGAGTGGAGTAATTGACTCGAATCATTACAACTCTGCCTAGACCAGCCAACTTGTCCCATTATGCCAGGGTTTGTTTGAAAGGATTGAAGCTTTTTAAATAAATATGTATCATTTTTTGTTCAAATTTGTTGTTCAGATTTGTTCATTTTTTGTTCAAATTTACTGTTCTCATCAAATCAAATTTACAACCATTTTTGGAGAATTCTGCCAGAAATCTGCCAAAAAAATCCATTCTGTCAAATTTTCTGTCAAACTCTTGTTTTTTTTTACAAAATTCTGACAAAGTTAGCCGAAAATGGGCTAAAACGTGACGGTCACCTTGGTACACATGCACCATTACATGTATACACACATATTGTACATGTACATGTACATTGTACATCATGATTCAATCCGCGGGATACGGCGCGGTATCGTACGTCAGGGAACTAGACTATGAATATGCATGTATTTGGGGTAATTATGCAACATATATAATGCGCGCTACATACATTAGGCAAAACAGATGCGCGCGCATTACACAACCAATAGCAAGTACCCTAGACGCAACCTCGTCCCCAGTGCTTACTTTATTTCCAACCGCGTTTCCAATAGTAAACCCTGGATAGGAAACTTTCTTCCTGTATCCTGATTGGATACTGCAATTGGCTAGTAATGGATTTTTATCGTGTACTTGGTGCTATATATTCACAACGTGCAGTACGTGTTTTCGCGATCATTCGTCCACGCCTTCTCGAAAATACTAATTACCTTTCCAATTTGCTCATATTAATATGAAATATGATACTGCATGTTGTCTCGATAAGATCGTAACAGTTTGATTTCAAAAATCGTGTTTTCGTAACTCACGCCGTGCTCGCGCTGCTACGAATTGACTCTGTTTTTACCCCAGACACCGCATACAAAAACAAACGCCAATGTGTAACGCATATCCAGGCACCAGACTGTTCCTCATTTGCATACGTGTGCAAAAATCTTGCACATGCAAATGATCCAATACCAGGGTGAGAGAGCAGGTAGTGGTGGGCGCGTACTGCTCGACACCCTGGGGACGAGGTTGCCCTAGACGTTGTTCTGACAGGTTCGTGGGTGATATTGGTTGGTCGTGATAGCGCCCTCGCGCACTGGCCGGTTATCGCGGTGGCCTGGTTATCGGCGTAGCAAACAAGAACATAGTCTAGCCCCTAGACTACATTAAGCCCTGCATACTGCACACGTGGGCACCGTGCATAAATACCAAATTTCATTGTAACAAGACCCAATGAAAATTAGCACTCTATCTCCTTTGTTCAATTCCTCAAGCCATTTAAAAATATTAGGTTTTTAAATTTGTTTGACCATTTTATACTTTTTGTAATATATGCGTATCGTTTTCGGAATATCAGTTTATAAAACAGTTTTGTAAAGTAATAGGTTGTGTCAATAATCTGGTGGTTTCAGTATACTCACATAGGCAGTTGAAGATTCTCCATACTTTTTTTTTAGTTAATCAGTTATTAAGGTTTTTATGTTTGTGGATACATCTGTAATTCAGTGTCATGCTGCAAAATGTGGATTTTTAATTAATAAACCACATTTGAACTGAGTAAAATGACTCTTTGTGGTGAATCACGCCTATTCCTTGGTTAGCAGAGCAAAGCACTTTACAAAAACGATCAACCTTTCGGCCTAAAAACATACTCCGGGTAGCTTGAGCAGTGTTCCCATGAGTCCAATCCTTTGTGTTGAGGAACTTATCTTGGCTTCTTCATGTGCAGCATGATTGATGTCCTCTACTAGAGATATCTCATGTACGTCTAGTACACACAGACCCTGAATGCAACATGAATGCAACACTGCATTACTCACCGTGGGTTGCTTGAGCAGTGTTCCCAGGAGTCCAATCCTTTGTGTTGAGGAACTTATCTTGGCTTCTTCATGTGCAGCATGATTGATGTCCTCTACTAGAGATATCTCATGTACGTCTAGTACACACAGACCCTGAATGCAACATGAATGCAACACTGCATTACTCACCATGGGTTGCTTGAGCAGTGTTCCCAGGAGTCCAATCCTTTGTGTTGAGGAACTTATCTTGGCTTCTTCATGTGCAGCATGATTGATGTCCTCTACTAGAGATATCTCATGTACGTACACACAGACCCTGAATGCAAGATGAATGCAACACTGCATTACTCACCGTGGGTTACTTGAGCAGTGTTCCCAGGAGTCCAATCCTTTGTGTTGAGGAACTTATATTGGCTTCTTCATGTGCAGCATGATTGATGTCCTCTACTAGAGATATCTCATGTACGTCTAGTACACACAGACCCTGAATGCAACATGAATGCAACACTGCATTACTCACCGTGGGTTGCTTGAGCAGTGTTCCCAGGAGTCCAATCCTTTGTGTTGAGGAACTTATCTTAGCTTCTTCATGTGCAGCATGATTGATGTCCTCTACTAGAGATATCTCATGTACGTCTACATGTAGTACACACAGACCCTGAATGCAAGATTAAAAATTTTTTTTTCAAAGCCTGATAATATTACTCTCAAATGTTGAAACACACATATAAATCTATCCAAAAGTCCAAATATTTTCTTAAAATTTGTTTCTTTTTTGGGGGGGGGGGGGGGGAGGGGTGCATTCTCATCTCTTTTAACAAATTTTTTTGGGTATTGCTACAATGATTTTAAAGTAGAGTATGTCACTTGTCATTTGAGCATTTTTTTCGGTTGAAGCAACAAAAGTGCTTAAAATCTAAAGAAAGTGCTTAACAACTAACCTGATGAAGTTTTAGCCCAGTGAATGCTGTATATTGGGAGAAAACAATATTCTAGGATCTCAATTTCAATCCAAAAGTTGTTGAGTCACATTTTAAATTGTGCCCAAAATCAGGGTCCGGAACACGTTCTCATTCAGCCGATTGCAGAGCTACGCAATGTCACGTACTGAACCGAAGCATTACAGCAACCGCGTGTACGTGTGCGTCATGTCAATGCCTGCGCGAACCCATTCACAGCTTCGCCGAATTCAAAAGGAACTACCGACAGAAATTTCCAAAAATATGCGTCTTCAGATGCATCTTTGGAAAAGACCTTCTTTTAGTGTTTTCTTCAAAAAGACAGCATGCCAGAACGAATAATTTCACAGGGAGTTTAGTCCCATTAATATCTTTAAACCAAGTATGCTTTTCAACAATAGTTTTGTCAGTTACTTTTTGGATAGCTGCAAATGATTTACTCTACTTTAAACTAAAATTCTTCACAAACTAACTGACAGTGAGTCATTCAGTTAGATGTGCAAAGAAGACACTAAGATAGGCCCTATGGAACCAGCAATGAAACAAATAGTATTGTTTCACCTCACTAAGCATACAAGCTGGCACATACCTTTTGCTGTCTGACCCTATCGACAGCATCTCCACCTTTCTTGGTCTCCTCACTGACCACAATGCACCTCATGTCTGGATCCACCACGCTGGGGCCGTAAGGATCCGTGATGGGCACGATGGAGTCTGATTGTAAGATGCGTGGTTTGATATCGTGGATGAAGTCACGGACAGACGCGATGCGCACATCCATTGGCTGGATCAACTCCGGTAGCGTTTTCCCTGCAATCAGATTAGGGGGATATATTCAGGTGTTGTATTAATATGAAATACTGAACACTTATACATTTATGACCTACTCTCAGCCAATGAAGGGAAAGGAAGTAATATAGGTTGTTTTATACTTGATTTCATGCGTTCTTACGTTGCAGCACGGACATGTCGGACAGTAAAACCAACTGTAATCTTCTCTTCTGCTCTCATCGCCGACTAACTCAGCAGGATTTTATGTCCAGCGTGGATGCGATCAAACGTTCCTCCTAGAACACTTCCGTAGCTCTTAATCGGCGAAGATTCTACTTCAATCCCATCAGCATCGACTGGTGGAGAACTGTCCACATTTGTCCAGACAGACTCTGGTATTACTTCCACAACAGGATTTGTTGGCACTACAAACCACGACTTGAGTAACGCTTGGAGATTGTTTAGAGCGGAGCAGTACAGACCGACATCTCCTTTGAGAATTCTAGTGGTAGGCAAGGTGCCAGACCGGTTGCTGATATTGTTTACGAGTACTCTGACATCTTGCCCTTGTAGCTGTGCTGACTAATTGCATAGATTACAATGATGGTTGCGCAGACATCTTGCGTAACGGGAATCGGTCTCTGTTTGTACGGTTCCAGTAAGTTCGAGGTCAAGGCCGGGATGCAGCTGTACGTAGAGTGTTTTCAATATGCAGCTGGCGGCATGGCACAGTATCGGACTGATTCGTTTGATGAGTTGGTTTATCGGTGAGGTTAAGATGAGAAGCCCTGTTTTGCAGCTGGGGAGCATTTTGGTTCACTGGAAAGCACAGTTCAAGCCTGTACTGAATAACAATGGAAAGAAAAAAATATTGTTAACCATGGAGGAATATAGCTCTTTTTGATTCAATTGCTCAAAAGTTGTACAGAATTTCCCTTCTGGCGTACCGTTTTACCAAGGTTGAATTGTAGGTGCCATCGTTCACCGACAGGGCATAAAAATACAGACCTATCAGGGGTGGATTCAGGATTTTTTGCAGGGGGGGGGGGGGTTCAGGCCCGTCAGCTTTTTGTTTAATCAGCAAATCAGTGCTGAAATGTTGTCAGGTGTTTTTTTTTCAGGACACTCCTGGGGCCTGGTACCATTCTTCCAATGGGGGCGCTGTTCAAATCCGACACTGTTCAAATCTGACGATCAGATCAGGCACACTATATCGCACGGTGTACAATTACCCCCTTACCCCCGCTGGCTTGCCTGTGTCGAGTGTTGCGGACAGGCAGGCATATGGGTAAATATTAGTAGTATAATTGTCAATTTTGTAAAAAAAATTGTGAGCAGGGGGGGGGGGGATTTTTTGACCCTCAAAGCCCCCAAATGGATCTGCGCAAGCCTGTAACGGTACCTTATAAAGTTGTAATAAAAATGAAGTACTATTGTATCACAGTTCCCAATCTGTACATCAACACCACACTGAACAATCCCGCACAGTATTGTTCATTGGGGACCACACACCTGTTGAGTGATAATTATTATGGGGACAGCAGGAAGTCCCCACAAACTCGGTCCTAATGTCCCTAACAATAGGAAGGAAATTTCTCATAAATTAATGTCGCTGAGCAAAAGTGTACTTCAGGGCCCCAGTTCAACATAAGTTGTACTAGGCGAGTCAAAAAGATGGGTACCTTGTAAAAAGGAACTTTTTTTCGTCAACTTAAAGACAAGTACATGTATAAAGCAATTTAAAGAATCAATCATTTACCTCATCAATTTTGCTTTCGTGCTTCGGGACATACAGAGTAATTCAAGAAAATCAATTTTGTCCACGGGTCATTGAATCAGGCTAAAACACACCCATGTGTGTCATATACCTTACACATGAGGGCACAGTTATTTATTGAGTTAATCCTTGCGGTATGTTTCTGATTATTGCAGAGCTGAAACATTTTGACATGAATATAGTTTTCTGAAACTATTTCCATCTCATTTTGTTATTCCTTTCACATAAATGAGAATGATTAAGGATTCCATTTAGTATGGATTCTGTTCAGCGGCGTAACTGCAGGGTCTCATCCTGGGGGGAGGGGGGGGCGTGTGGGGGGGGGGGTTGAGGTTACAATGGAGGGGCGCCCAAAAATTTCATCTGTGCTGAAAGGTACACAGGCTTTTTTCACCAGACACCCACCTTTCGTAAAATCAAATAGTGGGGGGTGGGGGGGGGGGGGGTGGACACCATCTTCCCATGGGGGCGCTGTTCAAAACGAATACCATGGCTACATTACATGAAGGACGTTACAATAAACAGCTCCTTGAGGGAGTTTTGGTGAAAAACAAGCACGAAATCGCCGGAAAAAAGTGACTTTATGTAATATCCAGCTAATCATGGTAACTCAAATGGCTGTGCTTTCCTACGGATGCAACATTTTTTTATGGGGGAGGGGGGTGATTGGGGGCGGGCGAACTTTTTATGGGGGCATGCTTTATATGGGGGCGAATATCAGTCAGAGAAGACATGGATGATGGTGGGTTTCAACCATTCAATTCTGAGGAAATGGAAAGTAAACACACTATAATACACTCTTCCTCACATACTCATCTTAAGGCAAGATGCAAAGAACAAACTGTGATTGAGCCAAAAATAATTATAACACCAGAAACAATTGTGAGATACTAACATCATGTATTTTAATATGAAACCTGAATGCAATCCATATATCTACTCCATCAAGATTTCACACACGTTATAATTATGTCCCAGAAAATTTAACCGTCTAAAAAGCAATTGGATCAGTGTGTTTTTGTATTCTACTGTTGGGCATCTGAAAGGAGAATACCGTACCCACACGAATTTGTGTTAGTCTTTGAGATAAAGATGGTACGTTACATATGGGACTTTTCTTGGACTTGGCCCTACTTGCCAAAAAATGAGAATTTTTGTATTATGTTTAAAACAATAACGGGTCAATTAATGTATGATTACATATATAAATGAAAAAAAATATATAAATAAAAACTTTGTGAAATCGACAGAGAATTGACATATCACACACTATTAACATCCAAATATGTCATTATATTCTTCGGCTTGAAATATATATGAAAACAATTCTAATGCCCCTTGTGAGTTGTCTTTTGGGGTTTACTTGAAAAAAAAAACCAATCCTTTGTCTTCGTATTTCATTTAGTAGTTTTAAATTTTCTAGGAATACAATCCCAAAAACAATTGCTTAGGTACCCCCCCCCCTTTCAATGTCGGTCAAATCAGTTATATCATCTTTTGCAGTTTTTAAAACTGATCTTCCCACCAACCTCCACCCCAAAGTTTAAACAAAATATACATAAAATATAACATAAACATTCTTTTCAAAACAAATATTTACCAAAAAAGTCATTAATTGGTGGATGGAATAATCCAAAAACTACTCCTGGTAATACTTAATTGTTTTAACCGTATTACTTAAGTCAGGCATGCAACTGGGAATTTAGAAGAAGAAAAAAACGAGAACATTCCAAACCACACAAGACTTTGTGCAGTGTTTTTCAATTTGTAATGGCATTCATGAGAAGTAAAAAAAACGAGGAAATCAGGGGATCCCAGGAAAAGTTGCATGCCTGTTAAGTACAATAAAGCCACTTGGCTAACGAGTTTCCAAAAATATAATTTTATTTACAAAATGTACATGTATTCACCATCTTAGGTTGAATTAATCACAAAACTTTTCATTGTTTTAAGGTGATATATATACAACTGTTGTCAGGTCAACAAGTCTCAACTTGGAAATGGACCAAACCACCCATACAGCCTCAGAAATCAACAAATACCATATATCCACTGGGTTTTCGAATTAGTGATGTTTTCGTGCACACACGTAAAGATTTGAGGTCTACAGTCATTTTGTTTGTCACTTCAAAAAGTTTCCAGATGTGGAATCTACACTTATTCACAAACGAGGAGATTGTGGTAGACCAGGGATCCTCTTTGCATAAACTGTTGTTTAAGAAATAGTTTAAGTCAGAGGATATAGACTTGGAACTGTAGATTTGTGCAAGATTCGCCCTGTCCATTTTTAGCACGAATCTACAAATTCTTTGTCCATTCTTATTGACCCAGTCAGCAAATCATAGACACTCTAAAAAGTCTCGGGTCAGATTCGACCCAAAACTGGGTCAGATTTGACCTGACACTTTTCCAGGTCAAAATAACGCTTCTCTTGAGTCACCTTTCTGGCCATTTGACCAAAACAAATTATTTTGACCCACAAGGGGTCAGGTCCAATCTGACCCGGATGTAGGGTTATAAAACCAGGACTTTAAGAGTGTCAGTTTGACTTTGATGACAAACTACAGTGTCATATGTAGAGGGTGAACAGCTAATTGTCTTACACACAGTATGACCCTACTGACCATCTGAATTGAGAATGTGTTATAAATGATGTTTGTTATAACACATTTTTAATTATCTGTTTTTGGAGTGTCAGTTCCAGTCTGTCCCGGATGCAAGGTTATATCTGACCCGGGAATTTAAGAGTGTCAGTTTGACTTTGATGACAAACTACAGTGTCATACATGTATGTAGAGGGTGAACAGCTAATTATCTTACACACAGTGTGACCCTACTGACCATCTGAATCCAGAATGCGTTATGATGTTTATCTTTAAAGATAATATGCAACATTTGCTTTTGCTGTAATTTTTAGAAATGGATAGATTTGGGGGGTTAGTATTTTATGGCAAAAATTGTTACACTGACTTGTTTGAAGTTTCTGTGTTCTTAGGTGCAGGAAAAAAAACCCAAGAAAACCAACCATGTTCTTGTAGTCTGGTTGTAGACTAACTAAACATAATAAATTTGGGGAAGTTTAAAAAAAAACACACACACTTTTTTTCCCAACGCTGATACAAAAATACCACTTTTCTTAAAAATGTCAGCATACGAGGTGCCACGATTTTACAGGATGCTTAAGACTGGCATTCATTGACACTCCAGTAAGGTTTTTCATAACAATTTGGAAGGTGTTGTTTTTTAAGTTTGCAAATGT